CTCAGTGGTTTCGCAGCAATGTTAGAAAGATACTCAACAGCAATTATATCTGGTTTAAGGGCTGACTCACCTTACATCACCTCTAAGATAATGAATACCTTGCATTCTAGTGTGAACAATTTGGTTAACCGTTCAGTGGCTTTCTCAATAAGCTGCTGCTGGTAGGTAAGTGTTATTTCACTGATTGAGTTGAATTGATGTAGTCATGTTCCCTATTACCCCAATCAACTTGACTTTATACTGAGGACATTTTATTGATTTGAAGTATCTTGTGTGTTATAATTGTTGCTTTATTGTTATTTATAACGGGGCACGTGTTGGAGTTGTTGAGCTCCTGAATATGAGTCAAGTCGAAGCAGTAGAAGAAGTGAATACTATTCTATTCAATTAGGTGAATGATATCAGAACTCCAACTTAGCAGATCTCACTGAAATGAGGGGAGAAATTTTGGGCTCATCTACTATTATAATCATTATTTTCGTCCACTTTCCAAATATTCTTAATAAGGAAGATGTGCTCAGCTATTTGCTTTTAATCTCACAACTTCTCTTTTGATTTTCTCTCATCACTTCACTTTTGTATTTCAGGTGTCTGGCGATACCTCTGAGAAGTTACTGGTAGAAAAATTGAGGCGCTACGGGAAACGATTCGAATTATGTTATTATATGCTAAGTGATTTCAGATTCGATCGGCTTCATCGAGAAATAGTGAGTCCGGCAATTCTCAAAGTAAGTCACTCAGGAGAATTGTGATAACTTAACTTCAAATTATGACTAGAAACTATGTTGCTAGTATCTGGTTGTCTTTCGCACTACAACTTCTTCAATAGGCAAATAGAAAGTGAAACAGTTCATCATCTGAAGTCCATGGGGACTAAAAATATCTAGCTGAAGAGTGAGAAAATTATCTCGGCGCTTGATGGTTGCCTTGGTAGTTGAGGTTAATTTCCAATGCAGCAGAACGTAGATGCGTTTGAGCACTTAAAAATGAGGAGATATCTGAGAGGGCATAGTAATTGATGCACAATGAGACACAAGGAATGTTGTCTTGAATCGGATGTATATTTATGTGGTTGGGAATTTAAGACAAACTAGTGGAATCAGACTGTTTACAAGTGGCCCACAAAACAATTAAAATTGACTCGGTGCGTGATCAAATAAATCTTATAATGTGGTCAGGCTGATCCATAGACAGGAAAAATAGCAAAAAATATGGTAATTAACGGAAAAATTTTAACGCCGGAAAAAATTTCATCAAAGAATAGTTTTCCTTACCATCTTCTTGTTTTTTGTAGGCCGTTCTAAATATATATGAGGTGATTCCTAATGATCCAAACTTGAATGCTCGTCTCTACAAAGCTGTAACTAACATAATGAAAAAATTGGATGTGGATGATTTAACATTTGAACTTGGCCAACAAGTAATGCAATATACACTGAGTTATAGACTTCGATTTAAAAGTGATGATCGGCTTCTACGTTTGCTGATTAGTAGATTTGGAATAGTGAGTGGTCGTTGCGTAAAATTGAGTATCTAAGTCGACTCAGTTTCCGAAAACATTTTCTGTGTTTTTAGATCCCAGATGGAACCTACTTAAATATTCAATCGGATTCTTCGTATATATTATTCTTGATAACATACATCGAAGAAAGCAGCGCGAATGCTGAGGAGGATCACTTCATCAGTATGCTCTATGGTCCCACCGGAAGATTTCCATTAAATCCCAAAGTAATTTGGTTACTGTATGAGAGTCTTGAGGGAAGTGAAAATGCTCGCGCACTATTCCGGATAATGGATGCTCTGAGCATATTAGGAAGAGTTGAGCGAGTAAGTTTACCTCATTTACATAAGTACTACTTTTCACTTATAATAGTATTAATTAGTCTAAGGGAATTAGTTAATTGGTGCCTTGAGTGAGATTTCAATAAT